CCATTGGCTTTCCTTCAGTTCCTTCAGCGCCCCGAGCTCCTTCCCGCCTCGGCGTGGCACACGGACTCCGTGGTGGAGCTGCTGCCGTTCCGTCTCCCTGCATAGCCTTTGCCTCCCTGTCTGCCGCCCGCTCCCTTTGGAACTCAGGGACCCTCCTACACCAAGTTTAGCCATCTCTGATTTACCATTTCCTGGCATCCCTTTCATTGCTCTCCTAGCACTTGCCACACTTGTGGTACTAAATTTTGTCAATTCTAAAATTTGTATATTTTTCACATTTTAACCTTTCTGAAACTGGTAGGTGTCTTGTAATTTAATGGTGACTTACAATTATAATGGTGAAATTACTGGAATGGTAGATTTGATGGAAGTGAGTAAATATTTGTCTGTAAAAACATCAGCTTATGTTGCCTGTCTTTCCCACTAGAGTTTATGTGCCATGAGGGCAGGGACTGTGGCTTTCTTGATCCCCCTTTATCCACGGACCTAGCGCAGTGCCAGGCATGTAATACATGCTCAGTAAGCATTTGTGGACCAAATAAATGGGCAAGAGGAGTAAAGTAGGACTCCTGAATTTACCTCCCTTGGTGTATTTTTTGTTGTTGTTGTTGTTTGTTTGTTTGTTTTGAGACAGAGTCTCACTCTGTCACCCAGGCTAGTGTGCAGTGGACTCATCATAGCTCACTTCAACCTCAAACTCCTGGGCTCGAGTGATCCTCCTGCCTCAGCCTCCAGAATAGCTGGACTACAGGTGTGCGCCACCATGCCCAGCTAATTTTTTCTATTTTTAGTAGAGATGGGGTCTTGCTCTTGCCCAGACTGGTCTCAAACTCCTGACCTCAGGTGATCTTCCTGCCTTGGCCTCCCAGAGTGTTAGGATTACAGGCGTGAGCCACAGTGCCCAGCTTCGATATTTTATTGATGAGTTCATGTTCTTCCTTGACTGTATCCTTCAATGCTTTGAGAGTTGTCCTCATACCCTTAATGTTTGCCTTTATAGACTGAAAAGATTTACTAGCTCAATATTGTTTCATGCAGAAACTACTTCATCTTTCTGGTCATTTTAGCTGGCCATCTCTGCACCTTTCGCAGTCGTCTGTATTATCTTTCTTGAGTTGGGATGAGATAGTGCTTTGTGCTTCATTTCCTATCCTTTTTTGGACAATTTCCTGTGTTAAACTTTTGTCATAGCCAGTGAGGCTGACATTTAAAAAGAATAATTTTCTGTGTCTTCAAAAAAGTTCTGCTTTAAAAAAAATTATACCTTTTAGACCTCTAGGGTCCTGTGAAACTATACAGGAACCCTATGGGACAGCTTAAGATCAAATATAGTTGATTCTGTGAAATTATTTATTCCTATCCTTATTTTTTCTTTTCTTTAAATTATATGCTCACTTTCATTCTGTGGGCTGGAATTTATTCATAAGTACAGTAAAGGACCATGTCAAAAAGTAGAATGCAAGTGTTGGAAAACATACTATATTTGTTTTGGGGTATCCTGGAAAAGAAAATAATAAAATGGAAAATAATTTTATTCTAGCCATTTCTGCTCATAAATGCTATTAACATTATTATCATTCACTCAGATCTCATACATCTTAGATTATTATACAAACTTTTAGATATATAAATATAAATTTTTCATTATTATCGTTTGACATTGATCAGTAAACTTACAAAACTTACAAAAATTCATTGGCCCATGAATTCTTTTGTTTTAATATGAAGGTTATGTGACCTTAAGAATTTTAAAAAATTGGTAGATTAGGCTACTTTCTAGGAGTGTAAGTGAGAAGCCAGCATCTCTCGTCTGTACTTAGAGTACTATTTGCATTATTTCTCCCCGAAGGCATCATATCCCTCTTGCCATCAGGGACACTTCGGGCCAATTTTTCCCGCTCTCCTGCATGCCGATGACATCTTTATTCCACAGTCTGCCCGCCATGCGTCCCTTCCTGTTAGTCTAAAATTTCCTGGCCTGCAAGAGCTTGGAGTTGCCTGAAACCTTGTGGGTTTCCCTGTGTTTCGCCTACTTTAGATTAGTAACGAATGGGCTAAACAAGATGGTTTTATCCTGATCTCTGGCAGTGCTGCTGTTTTTATTTTTTATTAAAAAAGTACCAAAACACGGCAAAACATTCCTTCTTATTTTTCAATGCCTGCTTACAAAGTAACAATCTGTGTGCCAAAAATGATTTTTTGAAAATATAAAAAAGGTCCACGAATTCCTTATTGATTATACTCTTTTGCCCCAGAAGTTCAGATGATACATAAATATTTATATATGGAATACAGACATATATGCATACACATGTATGTGTACATAGGTGTATATAACTTACATGTGTATACAGCATATATGTTTATGTATATGATACACACACAAAATACTGTACTAGCTGTAAAATGTCCTTTTTGAATTTTGAAACACAGCTAATGAGCTGAGAAGGTATGGGTGTACGGTCAGAAAAAATATTTCCTGGAAATTAGAAAGCTAAAGCTTGCAGCCTAGATGTGTCCTTAGCTGAATGTGTGACTCTGGGCAAGTTACTGGACCTTCCTGGGACTCAGCTTTTGTCATTTGTAACAGGAGAGGATCAGATTAGATCAGTGATTCTCAGCCCTGATTTCACATTAGAAGCACTTAGGGAACTTTAAAAATGTAGCCTGAGCCCTATTGAGACATTCTGATTTATTGATTTGCTGATTTATTTAGAGACAAGGTCTCACTCTTTCACCCAGGCTAGAGTTCAGTGGCACGATCATAGCTCACTAGAGCCTTGAACTCCTGGGCTCAAGCAATCCTCCCTCCTTGGCCTCCTAAAATGCTAGAATTACAGGCATGAGCCACTGCACTTGGCCTGAGTAATTTTTAAAGTTTCTCTTCTTTGAGTCTAATGTGAAGTAGCCAGGGTTAAGAACTGCCAATCAGACAAACTCTAGGCTCTTTCCAGGTCTACAAGTCTCTTGCTTTATTTTTCCTTCCTGAGACAGGATGGGCCATGCTGCCCAGAGCCCTGCAAATAGAGGTATTCTTCTTGCGGAATTTGTTTAACATGTGATTCTGCAGAACACTGTGAGTTGAAGAGTCCTTAGGCAGCACACCTCATCCCCCTTTCTGTCCTCACACATGGTGTCTACCTGTCCACTCTAGCACAGAGCCTCATGGCAGTCATGGTCCTCTACCATTGAGGATGCCTGAGTCTTCATACCACGCAGGAATCTCAGTGCTGGTCTGTGGCAGGGAGCAATGAAAGCTCCCAGTTCCTGTGTTTCCTTCCTTGTCGCCTTGAACCAGTGGCCAACGGCCATAGTTTGCATGATTTTGTTACTTGCCATCACCAGTCTTTTTGCTAATCATCCTCTTCAAACTTTTTGGTCTCTAATTTCACTCTTAAAGATTACCCTGTAATCTTTAATCTCTTTGACTTCCTGAAAGGACCAGTAAATACAGTAGTTACTTTAAAAAAGAAAAATTTTTTAAGCCTATTAAATTCTAATCACCTCTGGACCTATGGAATGACCAGACAATACTTGATAAATATTAATACAGTAAAATTTTTTAAAAAAGAAAAGTGAATTTCAAATATGTTAGGTTTCCTTCCTCAAAAGTTTTTTTACTTCTAGTTCTTTCCCCAGTCCCCGGCCCCCAGCCCTGTTGAGGCCATCTCCCTCATGCCAGCCTCTTCTCCTTCCAGGATAGGAGGAGTGGTGGCTGCTGTTGATGGGGGGCCCTGTGACGAGGACTTTCATTGTCACATCTGAACCCCAGGAAAGGGGGCTCCAGGAGGAGGAAACAGGGCTCATAGATCTTAACACCTGTTGAGTGTCAGCCTCAGGTCAGACTCTTTAGCAGACGCCATCTCTGCATTGTCTCCTTCAATCCTTAGAGTGACTAATTTACATTTTACTGGGCACCAAATCATGGATTTAGATGGTCCATCCTTGCCCAAGGCTAGTAAATAGTGGTGTTAAAATGGAGGCTATCTCAACCACCGCACATCGTGCTGCTGTTATTTTTAGGAGTATTACAACCACTGTCCTCATTTACAGATGGGGAAACTGAGGCACAGAGCAATTTCATAATTTTCCTAAGATCACCAGGCTAATAAAAGGCAGAGTCAAGATTTGAACCTAGGTCTTTCTGATTCCAAAGCCTGAGTTGCAAGCACCACACTCTGTTGCCTCTCGCTCTTACCTTATCCCCTGTGCACCTGTCTGTAAGTCAGGCCTCGCTCAAGCCCTCCCTGAACACTGATACTTTTTCTCTTGCTATGCCTCTGCTCGGAAACAGCCTGTGTCGATTTCCCGGGTCTGAAGTCCTTATCTATCTATCTATCTATCTATCTGGACTTTTGAGGCCCTCTGAGGTCTCTCCCAACCCCCAGCCCTTATTCCTGCAGTGCCCGGAACCCATGCCCTGCTCAGTCAGCCTGTCCTCCCTGCTGTCCCACCAGCATGCCAGGAGTCTCCTGACCCCAGGTGTCTTTCATCTTGTTCCTTTCATCTCTTCAACCGGCTTTTCCTGGGTACCTATCCTGTGCTGGCCAAGTCTGGTGGAAGGCCTGAAATTCTCCACCAGTCAAGCTGAATCCGCTTTCTCTGCACTGGCCAAGGCTACCCTTTCTGGGCAGCACCGCCCCACCCCCTTGCTGAGCCTCCTGACTGAGCTCCCTCCAAACGTGGGATGCAGTGTGGAGCCTCATTACGGAGTCTTGTATGCGTCAAGTCATAAGTGAGCTCCGTGAGGGCAAAGACCATGTAAGAACAGTCGTGAGCATATATAATAGTAGTTGCTTAATAAACAGACATCGGATGAGTTATCAATCTGTAATAATAGCGCCTTCCCCCTCAAATCAAATTGTTTGCTACGATGTTAATTCTGAGTCTAGAAAAACAGAATTTTAAAATGTTGATTTATAGGAATTTTTAAAAGTACGTGTTGTGCTTATTTTAAGCGTTAGGAAAGCTGATCTTCTGAACTGTTGCTATTCTCCTAGTAAACGTCCCTTCGACGGTAATGGAAGCCATGTGCAGACAAGATGCCCTGCAGCCCTTCAACAAGAGCAGCAAACTCTCCCTGGCCGCCCAGCAGCGCTCAGTCGTTTTCCCACAGACGTGCAGCAGGAACTTCTCTCTCCTGGATAAGTCTGGGCCCATAGAATCAGGATTTAATCAAATCAACGTGAAAAACCAGCGAGTCCTTGCGAGCCCGACTTCCACGAGCCAGCTCCACTCGGAGTTCAGTGACTGGCACCTTTGGAAATGTGGGCAGTGCTTCAAGACTTTCACCCAGCGGATCCTCCTACAGATGCACGTGTGCACGCAGAACCCCGACAGGTAACCCCGACTCTCACTGCTCACGTGTGCTTGCTTAGTGAGACCCACTGTTGCCCTCCTGCCCGCTTCCCATCGCCTGCGCAGGGCAACCCTGTGATGTAAGAGGCGTCTGCGTTCCGGGAGGTCGGAGAGTGATGTTAGGCCACTGCTTGACTTTATTGCTTCTAAGGGCTGCACAGACATTTGGTGGCTGCAGAGAGGAATCCACACTTGCTTTCCAGACAATTCTGTCTCAGTCTAAAAGGGAGCAAAATAGAAGGAACATTTATGAATATCATAGATAGAAAAATGAGGTCAGGATAATTAGAATCCTCTCTGTCTTCCAAAGATAATATAGCTGGCTGTTCTGCTGCTGTCACGGTCATTTCAGGGTTCAGCTCCAGTGTGCAGTGGCTATGAACTTAATTAAGTACTAAGAGGTAATGAATTGGAATTTTTTGCTTAGTACTATTTTTCTTCAGAGCATGCAAACCTATAAATCCTGCAAAGCTGTCAAAAGGAAATACCTACTCTGCTAGTGATGTGGAGGAAAACAGATGCCACTTATTCAATAAACTAATATCCACACAGAAGAAAAATGTTGACTAGATACCTCAGAGTCAAAGTTGGTTTGAAAGTTTGTCAATAAAGAATTTTATGGCCATGAACTGAGGATGAAATTTAGCTGAACAAGTGAATTAAAATTTCAGGTACTCTGACGAGTGGCACAGTAGATATAATGGAACTATTATTTATGAATCAAAACTGGTTTATTCGACAGTCTTGATAGCCGGGAGCGCAAAAGACAAAAATCAAATTAATTCAATAAGAGAGCATTGCTGGTGTTTTATCTCTCCTTCATGTCTTATGAAAACTTGATTAAAACCAAAATATCTAAGGAGACCATTAAAATGCACTTTGAATATAAAAGCAGAAAATAATTTTTGAAACTAGGATAGGAGACTTAAAAGCAGGACTCTAGAATTCTTCTTTTAATTTTGCTGCTCACTTACCTTGAGCAAGCCATTTGGCTTTTCTTACCTAATAATATACACCCAGCTCTTCCCTCCCAGATCTGCAGGATGCAACAGTGTGCCTAGAAAACCCAAGCAAGCGCAGGGAGGATGCAGGCGTGGTGGAGAGGGGATGCATATTTTCTAAAATAATAATAATCAGTTATAGGGTACATATGCACATTTACATGTGCATTCATTTTTATTTGTGCCTTTCTAGAAACCACTTGCTTAGCATCAAGCACTGCTATAACTAATTGATGTTGAAACATTTACATTAGGGCTCTTAAGGCAGCTGTGTCTTCACAATCTTTTATTTTCAATAGGAGAGCCCCTTTGGTGAAAATATCAGCAAACTTCTACACATCTTAGTACTATTGGTTGTAGAGGTGATACAAAAGTTTGAAAATGTTTTCCTCATTCAGAAAAGATTTTTTTTAAAGTTTGCCTTCCTTGCAAGTATACATATAACCTCAAGATGTATCTATTCCAAGTTTGCAATGTATTTTAATAGTTTTTTTAAACATAAAAGATGACATTAAAAGCTTATCATTATACACTTGCTTTTTAAATTGAATGAGTTCAGATTTATGGATCTATTATTTGCAAAGACTCATTGTAGTCATAATAACTAATCGTGCCAGGTACAATGAAATAATAGTTTAAAATTTCTAGATACTGGAACTCAAACCTAGCTTTGAGGATCTGAGTTCATGCTGAATGTCATATGAAGCAATGAAACTATTTCATGGTAAATAGAAAGATACTGAGACAGACTGTTTTGTCTGATCATAGTTAAACTTAGAAAATCATATGTGTGTATTATGGTTTAAGTCCCTGTGAAGTCTGTCTCGTAAAATAACAGTGTCGTGATTTATAACACATCTATTTATACTATCAGAAAAATATCTAAAAAGAACGTTTACATGTAGAAAATACACTTTCAGGAGAGATTGTTAGATCAGTGCTGGTTCCAAGCTAATTTAGAGTCACTGGCAAAAATCTAGATGGCCTGAGACTCCTGTCCTGTGCTAGACCCCGGTGGGCTTACTTGACTCGGATGCTCAGGTGTGGCATGGCCAGCATTCCCAGATGAGGTGAAGCAGTGGGTGCTTGGTATCTGGGAAATAGCCAGAGTGGGATCGAGTTCCTCAAGCAGTGGGTCCCTGCCTCTCCCTTCCCTGCACTTTGTTGGTGAAGACTGGAGAGGTGGCCACCATCATTCGTGAATAAGTTAAAATTAAAAATTATGATTTTAAAAAAATCAGTCCCTTTATAGGCAAAGTAATAAAGTACGATGTTTCTCAGTAACAATGGGAAGATGCTTGAATTACACCATCACGTCTGGGTTGATTATTGGAGATAAGGGGAATAGAGGGAGATGCCTTGTCACTTTGGCCCACTAGTTTTATTCTAGATACATAATTTGCTTTTAAGCATTATAGGACTGGAATATTCTTTTCTGTCCCAGAGCTCAGGATGCTCTCTTTGTGCAAGAAAATTTGGAAATAAGAGATATTCTCTATAATTCTTAACCACATAGGTGAATTGCTGAATGGAAAAAACAGAGAGAACTACAATGGAATGTCAAATTTGTTCAAGGTAGCTGCTAAATTTGGAATCTTTTTTGTTATCTATGTGGAGACTACAATTGCCAAATACAGGTCGAAGTATCCCTTATCTAAAATGTTTGGAACCAGAAGTGTTTTGCATTTGGGGTTTTTTTTTTTTTACATTTTGGAATATTTGCATTATACTTATAGGTTTAGCACATCAAATCCGAAAACCTGAATTCTGAAATGCTACAATGGCCATTTATTTTGAGTGTCATGTTGGTGTTAAAAAGTTTTGGATTTTGGAGGATTTGGGATTTTTGGATTTTTGGATTTGGGATGCTCAACCTGTATACTTTAGTGATTGACTCCATAAATCAGTTAGTTTTTAGTCTTTGGCAGTGTGTACCCATTCAGCCATGTACAGTGAAAAAGCTTAAAAGTCAGAAACCATTTCTCTTGTTTGAAAAACTCAAATGCTTATATTTTGATTGGAGAATCTTGCTAGAACCAGAGGCAAGAAAGGGAGACATAGAAGACAAAGTCAGAAGATAAACAGGTTGGAGTTTCAGACAGGTCCAAATTTGAAACAGGCCCCTGAATCTGAGGTCCAAAAGATTTTTCATGCAATGGGCTGAATATTTGACCATGAAACTCCGGATATTTGAACTTCATCAAAGAGACTGTGTGTCTATAATCATGAGCTTTTTCCTGTGAGGTACCATCAAAAGGCTATGCCTCAATATAAAGGAGAGAGATCGGTGGATGTCCCGGGATGCCAGCGTCTCCATTTTCCACCGCTGTTATTCACATCGAACGCAGAAAGGACTTCTGTCTGACCTCTGAAAGTAGATATAAGAAAAAACCCATGAAGGTCCAGGAGCCACAGAATTGTTATTTCTTGATTTTGTTTTGTTACTATTAAACAAACAAAACCAAAAATCTCTTCTTCCTTTTTCCCAGATTACTGACTTTTTCTGAGTGACTTTGAAGGAAAGAAGCATTAGAATCTAGACCAACCAAGATTTTATGTAGGGATCTCATAAACATTTTGGTTTTTGCATAAACTCATTGCTTAGGCCAGGGCAGCTTGACTCACTTTTGCTTGAATGAGAAGTTAGAAATCCCTTTTCTCATCTGCTGCAGAAACTCAACACTCCCACTGGGGGGGCTCCAGCAAGGGGTAACCAAAGCCTTCAATCACCGTGGATTATTTTCCGATGAATACGTTCTCTTTTATTTTCTGCAGAAAATGTCTTTATAATGCCTATTTTTATTTTGCATCTTTTTTCTTTTCCTTTCTCCTTTTCGAGTGTGCCACATAGGGAAGGTCTGCCTTCAGCCTCCTGGGCACACTGTCCCTTCACATGTGTGTTTTAAGTATCATTGTTTGCAACGGGCTGTGGTGGGACCAGAGGGAAAAATGAGTTTAAGAAGGTGCTATTTGGTGGAAAGAGCTTGGAGATAGTCCGTCAGCACAATAGTTTCTTAGATTGCATCAGCGTTCTTGTGTTCCGCTATTTCTTCCCCCTTCCTCAAGTGTGAAGGTTATCTTCTTTCTAACTTTGATGTTCTCCAGGTCCTTTGGTTCTGCGCTTTTGTCACTGTCCTAAAATATTTTTCTCCTTGTGTAGAGCTAAGTTCTTTCTCACTCCACCCAGCCAGCAGTGACCTAAGTAGTCTCCCTTTGAAGTCTTGGGAGATTTGTACTTGGGCTGGCTGATGTGGAGCAAGGAGAGAACCTGGCCTCAATTGAACAACTTTCATCCTGGAGGCCATGAGAGAAAAATCAAAGAAGGATTAATAATTTTAAACCAAACCACACTTAATTTTTTTTAAATGTTTCCTCCTTTTCCTGTGTTTACACCAGACCAATTGTAGATTCAAAGCAAATGAATTGCACATTTTACTGGAGTAATCTTTGGCGGAGGAGCTGCCAGTGACACAGAATGCCAGGGCATGCACACAATTGTCTCTCTGCCTGCTTCCTGCTTGAACATTTGCCAGCACTGGTACATGCTAACCAAATTGACCCAGGGTCTGTCTGTTCTTCGCTTGTTTCTCTGTTGAGTAAGGAGTACCTTCTAGTTGTCCATGCAGCCAGATATTTCTGTGTTGGAACTAGCCACACGAAGCTATTTAATCAAAATTAAGTAAAATAGGACTTCACTTTCTTAGGTGCTCTAGCCACATGTCAAGTGCTCGAACGCTGTTGGCGGCCGATGGCTCCTCCTGTTGGATAGCTCAGGTACAGAACACCTCTGTCACTGGACAACACTGCTTGTTAGAGGTCTCAAGTGGCAAAAAAGCCATGAGATACTCGTGGTTGTGAGATGTTATCCCTTTGTGTTATGCTCATTGCCTCTGCTTTGAGAAGCATGAAATGCTGTATGTCTATGACGATTTGGGGAGAAGAAAGTGCTTTAGAAAGGAGATTACCATTTAGTTGTGCAGCGACATGCTGTGTTTAGCCTTGCTCCTGGAAAGAGTAAAGCTAAACACAGCACTCCTGGCTGTCAGTCCTTATGAGCTCCTTCTGGTATGACACATCGAAAAGAGGCAGAAACTTTCGAGTTGAAATTGATTGTATCCAAAAAATTTAATAAATTTTTACCTTTCAGCCAGACCCCTTGAAAAATTAATGGGAATGTTGGTTGTCAGAACAAAAAGCTGAGTAATGACAGCTAATTCTGTGTCCCACGAGCCCTTCAGCTGTCAATCGAGAGGTGCGGAGTCAGAGTGTGCTGAGCGAAACATGCACACGTGCTCTGAACTCCTGTGGGCGGTTCCAAAACAAGTTGTGCTGCCTGAGATTCCAGAGTGGTGATGATGCCTTCTAAGCTCTGCTCCTGGGCTTGAAGATTTAATTCTGTCTTGAATGTATTCCTTTGTCCTTAGATGAAACTCTAGGCACACAATCAATTTTAAAATTACTTTTTGATCGTTTCCTTTTATCAATTTTTGAAGGAAATATTGAAAATACAGGAAAAGAGAATCTAAATTTTGTCTATTTGCCGTGTAACTTCTATACTTTCTGAGGGCTAACTTTCTACACATTTCTAGGCTGAGAGAGACACTGTTGTTATGGTGGCAGGTGAGGTACGTAATTTAGTTCTAAATTCTGCATAAATTCAGCCTCTGCAAAGATGAACGTGACTAGATGGTCTAAGATCTTATTTTTTGAGGTACCTAAGAATGAAGGAATATCATTTTGCTTTTTGAGATTAACTAAAATAAGGTTTGGTCCCACGTTTTTGTACTAGAATTTCTTGTTGCTCTGAATTCTCAACTTTTTGCCAATAGGTTTAAATTTTCCATATGCTGTTGAGCATGTACATACACACACACACACACACAGAAAGCTCCATGTACAGGGAGCTGGCCAGTACATATGATGGAAGATTGAGATCATATTGATGATGCTGTCTCTTGTGAGCTGTGGTTGGGCAGGTACTTAGGTGACGTACATTTGTCTGTGACCTGAAAGCAAGAACAAAGCATGACGAGGTGCGAGAGAGTGTCTTGTTCAGGCCATCCTTCTTATCAGATAGAGGAGAAAACAGAGGTCAGGGAAGTTGAGTGGCTCATCCAAGTCCCACAGCTGATTGGGGTCAGGGGCTGAAGTAGGACTCACCTCTCTTATGTTCCCTGTTCTAGGCCCTTCCATTCAGTTAAGCTGAATTCTGCAAAGTTTTAAAAACCGTGCCATATAGGTCACTGGGTCCCCAGCACGTGCGTCCCAGGCTGGTGCTGGGCAAAGGTGATGTTTTAGAATCCTATTTTCCTTTCTTTGGTTTTACCTTGTCATAAGAGTTCAACATAAGCCTCTCTGTGGTCATTTCTGCTCTTCTGTGCATAAATCTTTGCCACTGTGACTATTAACATAAAAAGGATGGATTGACTTCTGACTGTAAGAAATAAATCACCCCAACTTTTGACAGCAGAGTTAGAAAAAAAAAGAAAAGATTAATTGGTTTTATTTAGTGGCTTATTGTTTATTGTGATAGCTATTAAAAATAGATAACCAGAGGCTAATAAATGTTAATGGTCCCTTCACTATTAGAAAAATCGATTGTCAGTGGATATAGAATATATTAATATGTTATTTTGTTTATAATCTTCAATAACATTTTAAAAAACTCACCCCTAAGAGAATTATTTTTTGAAGAACCCTTTAAAGTTAATGTTTACTACAAAGAACAGATTTGGCAAGAGGACGTTTTCATCTACATATAATTTTAATGGCTTTCAAAGCGTTATTTTATAATTGTAATAAAATGCATGTGCAATTTGTCAAGATTGATAAACTCCTTACCAGAGACTTTTATGTATTTCCTTGAAACTTGTTTGAGAGCAGTTAGATAGATTTCTAAATGTAAGTAATTAAAATTGTATAGTATTGAGTTATTGACCAATCCTGGACAATTAATCAAGCTAAAAAATTCTACAATCAGAAGTCAGTGTACTGAAGCCTGGTAAAATAATAGTATTTGTGTTCAGTGAGGCAAATAGCCACAATTAAGCAGTTCACTTGACAAATGAGAGGGTACACTTTATTTTGCACTTAATTGAATTGTTGTACACGCTCGGTCACTATTGTCTCCTGGCCCTTCATTTTGGTTTCTGGTCATGGGAGCTTATACATTTGTTAAAGCTTGAGCAATTAAGTCCGTTTTCACCGTTGGTTTCTAAATGCAGCCAGAAACGTCTGGCCCACAAACCAGGGTTTGGTGAATGCTGTTAATATCCCTCATGACAGATTAGTAATTGTCTGAACAAAATTTTTGATAAACAAATTAGAGCCCTGTCAAGGAATGATATGAAATAGCTTCGAATAGGGAAAACTCCCCAGGTTTTATATCACTCACCAGATTCTGCTTAAGTAAGCAGAAGAACTTCTGTAGGGAAGACAGCATTTTAATCTATTTTATGAAAACCAAAAATTGATTTACTTCTCATGAGCTGGAAAGAATGTGCTCTGATAATCTTGCTAATTATCAGGTATTTGTCACAACTTCCTTCCATTTGCTTTTGCATCACAGTCATCCTTCTGCAAGCATAGTGACATGCCGTCATTTCTGTGCTGCTGTAAATCATTCCGTGCTCCTAGATTAAACCAGAGTGCCGAGGTTCAAGAAGAAGACCCAATGGATAAATATCTGGAGGGGGGAATAGTAAGAAGTGAGGATTTCTTTTACAAAGAGACACACCTGGGCGCACGTCCGTGTTCATCTGTGCAAGGCCAGTGGCTGTGCTGCAGACAGACTCCGAGGCAGTTTGGTTTTCATAGGACATGCGTGTAACTTGCTCACTTGCCTGCTTGCTGACCTGGTACTTAGAACAAGGTCCAGACACCCCGGAGTGATGTTGGCATTAAGAGCTTATGTCCTGTGAGGACAGTTTATCCTCAGTTTTCTGAACTGACAGAGATAATAGCAACTGCTTTCCCTGTCCCAGAGGATTATTGTGAAGATTAAACTAGATAATTGATTTTGAAGCACTTTGAAAAGTTACAAGGGCCATGGAAGCATAAGAGACAATTATATATTTTCTCTTGTAACATTCTGCTTAAGCAAGTCTGTGCTTGTAGTGCTCACAAAAGTACACTAATATTTGCCTGGGGGGAGAGAAAAACAGGAAAGTAGGGGTTCCTGAAGCCGCATGATTAATGCTAGAAAGGAATATTCATTTGGGAATTGGCGTGTCTCAGCAGCTCTGTAAATTTTTTTCCTGTGGCAGTAAGTAAAGTAGTGGAAACCCAGTGGCCAAAGCCCTATGCTCTGTCTTAAAAACTGAGAAAATGTCACCAAAAAGTTCCGGCCCCTTGTCTCATGATTCTGACTTCCGCTGACCAACGTAGGAAATAATGACCAGGCAGTCTCTTTATTTGTTTCAGACCCTACCAATGCGGTCACTGCTCCCAGTCCTTTTCCCAACCTTCAGAACTGAGGAACCACGTGGTCACTCACTCCAGTGACCGGCCTTTCAAGTGCGGCTACTGTGGTCGTGCCTTTGCCGGGGCCACCACCCTCAACAACCACATCCGAACCCACACTGGAGAAAAGCCCTTCAAGTAAGTAGTGGCTAGCCCTCCACCCTCTCTTTGTCTTGGCCTTGCCCGAGAGCCGGCAGGTGCGTGGGCACAACGCTGCCCGGCTCAGCCAGGTGGCAGAGAAGGCTACTTAGAAGGTCAAGGTGCAGGCTGCAAAAGAATCTCCTTGTTTAGTGGCTGACATTTGGAAAATGACATCAGGAAACCTGTATACTGGTCCTGGCTCAAGTTTCACAACCCTGGACGTGAGATGAATTTTCTGGGTGTGTTTTCTCATCATTAAAATTAGGAGGTAGGAGTAAATAATTTTGATATGCTTTCTAGTTCCTGAAGATCTGTGCTTCTAGAATGTTACCTAGGAGCCACACAGAGCTCTTACGGCCATCAGCAAGCTTAAGTACCATCATAAAGGTGCCCACAAGTTTAGGACATCTGAGTAATCCCCTCTTGGAGACTTCGAACCTTTTGGGCTTCTGGTGAACTATTTCCTTCTTTTGCCTATGTGTTAGAGTTTGAACCTATTGTAGCAGCCAACTTGTGACTTTTCAGCATAGACTTTGGACATCAGATTTACCATGTTGGTGAAAAAAGAAAAACGAAACCAAACACAGGGTACATCAACTTTTTGAGGATTCAGGGAATGTGGAAAGAGGTGGAACTGAATTCTGAGGGCTTTGGCAAGGTAAGGACATCTGAGCGAGAGAATGCGTTTCTACATTTAGCACAGTCATCAAAACAGGGGACATTGGAGTCATGCAAGGTGGCCTATTCATTCATTTGTTCATTTATTCATTCATTTACTCATCCAGTTATGTATGTGTTCATTCATTCAGTAAATATGTACTGAGCAGCTACTTTTGTATTAGGCACCCTGCTAAGTACAAGAGATACAAATGTGAATGATACTTAGCCCCTCCTCCCCTGCCCCATCTTTGAAGATCTCACAGTCTAAGGAGAAGCCCAGTTAATAAACATTATAGGCTGAAAAGTACAAAAATAAGACATGTACAAGGTACAAGGTGTCAGAGTAGCACAGAAATGGATTAATCAATGCTAACTGGGAAAGATGATGTTTAAGATGTGTTTTGAAGGATGAGTAGGAGTTTTCCAGACATACAAGGGGAAAGGGGTATTTCTGGCAGTCCAAACAGCATGTGGAAAGGCATGGGAGTGTGAACCAGTGTGCATGACTGGTCGGTGGTCTCAGCAGTTTTTACCGTCTGTGCGATGAACGCTTTTCTGTTCCATCCTCTTAAATCTCTCTTCACTCATTTGCCATACTGGTTTTCCCTGTTTGAGAAGGAAAATTAAAAGGGCATAGAAGTATGGCCTTGTTTATCTTCTGTAGGATAAGATCAAGCAAGAGAAGAAATGAGTCAGGCTGTAGGAGACCGATTCCCTTGCTCAGTCTCAGCCAAGAAGTCTTCCCAGAGTCTCACTACCAGGACTTTCCTGCGGATCTGCCACGGGGGCGTACTCTCCTGCTCCGCTCGGGGTAGCAGAGTCCTGCGGTCTGGGTCTTGCCTACCTCTGTGTGCCAGTGAAGGGAGGAGCTCATAAAAGGCTGTCATCTTTGCTCACTTCCCCAAGAATCAGTTACCTATATTCATCATTCTTTACTATTCTCCATCATGGTTTAACTTACGACATTTATAATCAAAATAGTGATAATTTTTGTCTGTGTACATAGGCACAGCTTGTTCACTACATAAAGGCATCTGGCTAAGGGGGTAGCGTGGGGTCCAAATTGAGTCTACACTCTGCCAACCACGCTGTGCCCGCTGAGGCTGCAGTAGCCCTAAGAGGGCACCTTTTCCTCATCCACCCTAAGGGGCCAGATGGGCTACCACAGTCCTAGGAGTTCCCCATCACCAGTGTCTGTGTTCCGCCCGGTGGACTTTGTCATCGCCCTCAGGCCTGACCCCTGGGGGTTCACCACTGCTCTGAAGGTGGAAGGTGACAACAGTACAGTACCCTGCCTCTGAGCAAGAGAGCTTTTCCAAAGCAGTGGTTGAGGAGGGTTGAGGATCTGCCTGGCCCCTTACATTAGAAAGGGCAGCCAGATGGATATGGTGCCAGGAATCACATTGATTTTTATCTTGTTGCTGTGTAAATAGATTTTAGTAATTAATTGAAGAGGTTTAGAGGGTCAAAATGGGAAATAGATTTCTATTAATGTTGAGGTGTTACTTATGTGTAACCTCGTTGACTTTACCCAATTTTTTTTCTTTAACATCCTGTTTTTGGCATGTTTCCAATAGAGATGCCATTTTAACTTAATTTTAATTCATCAGATTAATATTTGAAGGGATTTGGTGATTATATTTTTTTCCTTTCAAAAGTGGTTTTTTGTGACCATACTTAATTTCATCTGGAAAAAAAAATTAAGGAAACAACCAGTGTTGTTGGACTAGATTCTATGTGCATGTTTTAGTTCCTTCTGCTCCTACTCTTATCAAGATAGCCACATGCTATAGTTTTCTTAATTTATCAAATATATATTTCCAGGGGAGAGCTGAGTGTGTGCTTATTTTAAAGTGGAAGATTTAAACATTTTCTAGAAAATGGAAGGTTAAATTCTTTAGTGTATACAACCAGGTCTTTCAGAATTGATCTGTCCCAAGGGAGTTTTGGGAATCTTCCAACCATAGCTCATGGGTATCCATCCCAGGGACATTTGTAAATATTATGAAGATCTCCTTTTACAAGCTTATAAAACAAACATTCAAAAAAACTTTTGTTGCAGATTAGTCAATAAAATGAGTCTCACCACAACAGTTAATTTTACTACTTCAACTAATGGGTGTTGGCTTAAACAATGTTACAAAGAAGGAGAAGAATCTTGTAAAGATGCAAAACCCTAAACTGTGTGTCTTGGGCAGCTTCCAAATAGATGCCCCAGATGGCTCAGTCCCTAAATTGTCCCACACACCCAGAGCTCAGGAAGTCTTCACCGGATTCTTAGGGGTGACATGAGATCGATCCTGCCGTGTCAGGGGAAAGCCCTTTCTAACTTCTAAGGTCTTCTCCTGAGAAGAGGTTGGTGAAGGCAGATCAAGATTATTGCCATCCAAAGCAGGCTGGAGAAACTTTGGCATTAAGAGGTCAGAGTTTCAATCTAGGCTTTGCCTCATAATCTGCTTGGCTGAAATCCCACTGAAAGAATTCATCCCCCAAGTTCTAGGTGGGCCTGTCAGCAGCCAACCTAGGCAACAGACTTGGAATTTGTAAGGTAAAGGAGCACACAGGAAAAATAAAGATCAGAGGATCATACTGAAGGTCTTGGCTTTCAGTTTGTTCTATGAGACTGGAAGTCATGGAGAACAAAGAGCAAAAGCAAGACATCATTTCACTTCATAGCAATGTCTGAGTGCCTTATTACAGGAAGGAACGAGGGAAGGAAGGGAGGGAGGGAGGAAGGAAGGAAGGAAAGAAGGAAGCAGTAAAAAGAATCATTCTTTGCAGTGAAGACTCCTTTCTCTTTCTCTGGTACTGAACAGTCTCTCAAGGTTTCAGGTGGGCTTCTCTGCTCTGCCTGTGAGGATCTGTGTGAGCTGCCGGATGCCTGGCTTCTGAGCCTGAGAAACTGCAGGAATGGGCCAGGACTTTCTGTAGGAGGGATTCTTCATCTTTGTTAGAAGCAGTGGGGGAATCTTCATCACTATGTTTTTCCTTCCAAGAAAAGGAAGTTCGGCTCAGTATTTAAAAATCAAAGGAAATTCCAGAGGACATCTAATATTTGCACATGATCTAGGCAAAAATCAAAGCAAATCCAAAGAGCAAATCTGCATCGAGCATATCATGCCTACGAAGCCGTGTGCAATTTGGTCCAATTCAAAAAGTATTTTAGGACATGTCATAGAAGCACAGAAAGCTTTTCACAGGTTTTCTGTGTAACAGAACTTTACATCGTTTTGTTAAGCTCTCTGTGCATATAATCTAGTCAACCACCACAGTAAGTGAAGAATGATCTCAAACCTAAAAGAAATCAAGTCTAATCAAGACTCTCAGAACGTTAGGGACCTTCTCTTTCCTGAAATATTTGGAAGACTTTCCATTTTGGCGTTCCTGCGATGTTCCTTCCCTTCAAGGCTGTCACACGCGCACCCATGCTAAAGGAAGGCGCAGCGAAGACTTGCGTGCGAGAGCGTTTCGTCCCTCCTGGCTCATTCCCTGCTTCTTACTTTCCTCCTCAATTACACTTCATAAAGTCCGGGCTCGGAGATGCCTGTGCCCAGTCACTTGCCTGGAATTGTAATTCAGAGTTAATTAAATGCCAACCAACCAAGGTGAAGACTTGCTCTGATCCCATGAACCTAGGTATTTGGATTGCGTTTGTCCTTCTGATGAGTTTCATTCAGCGAGGAAAATATTTTGTGGAGATTTCCCTAAAGTTTAAGATGATGAACATAAAACTGAGGCATTTCCCTTATTTTAAAAAAGTATTTTTATATCTAGCTCTCTTCCTTAAATATATAAATTATATTCATACAATTCCCAAACCACATAGATATTATTTCTAGTAGCCCACTTTCCTCAGGAAGGGGAAATCTCTGGGGAAAGGATTTAAATGCAGGTAATTTCTACACATCTACATGTATTTTTTTTTTTTTTTTTTTGAGACAAGAGTCTCACTCTGTTGCCTGGAGTAGAGTGCCATGGTGTCAGCCTAGCTCACAGCAACCTCAAACTCCTGGGCTCAAGCGATCCTCCTGCCTTAGCCTCCCGAGTAGCTGGGACTATAGACATGTGCCACCATGCCCGGCTAATTTTTTCTATATAGATTTTTAGTTGTCCAAATAATTTCTTTCTATGTTTAGTAGAGACGGGGTCTCGCTCTTGCTCAGGCTGGTCTCGAACTCCTGACCTTGAGCGATCCACCCGCCTCGGCCTCCCATAGTGCTAGGATTACAGGCGTGAGCCACCACGCCCGGCCTCATCTACATGTATTTTTATTCACACTTGGTGGGCAGATGGCACTAGAGATGATTTTTCAGGAATAATCTCTTGTGCCCTTTTTATGGACAAATTTCCTGACTATTACAACAAACTGTTCCGTGCATGTAAATATCTGTGAGGCATTTAGGCAAATGCTTGAGGAAAATGCAACTCTCCTCTTAATGTCTTTGTCCAATCTGGTGTTTAAACATTACATATGGCCACACACTTTTGCCTTATATGAAGTACTAAACTTCCCACTCATGAATTCCTCATGTTCTAAGACACAAGATTAGAAATGCAAAATTGTGACCCAGGTAAATTATCATTCCTCACAATTGGTCCAGCTATTCTGCTGTCTTTGAAATTGATTCTAGTGCTTCAAAATAATAAAAAAAAAGGAATATAATAATTTGAAAGTTTGTCAAGCAGTGAAAGGTAGTATATTTTGACACACTAATCCAGTAACTAATCAGTTTTCTAATAAACAATCAGCAGTTCGCTAACGTGTCATCAGCACCCCGGGAGCTCGGAGAGGGGATGAGCTGCCCACGGACGTTAATGAATTCACCAGAAATCATTGGGTGATCAATACTTCTGAGTTATTTTCATTGAGCTGATAGGTCTGATACATTAAAGCTGACATTATACATTTGTCAAGATCACAGTGCAGTTTTTAACAGTGGAACAGGCTGCTAAAAATATTCCCCGAAAGACAATCAAAGAAACACAACTTCTTCCCCCTGACACACTCAGCGGGTGCAGGAGCCCTGGAAAACCCAAGCATGAAGCCAAGCTCCTGCCTCCCAGTGTCCAAAACATGTAGGAATCCCCACGGTGGACGAATGTGGCCTATTTTTATAGGTCATTATTTCCATGACAGGGGACTTTCTGTAATTTACTAAAGAGGGGAAAGGAATGCCTGCTGGATAACAGGGCACGTGGCTTCCTCGTCTGTGATAGGGCAGCGGGGACTTTCTCATGGTGGCTTTTGCCTTAGTGTAGTGCAGGGGCCCACACATTGGGGGTTGCATTGTCGAGAAGAGGGACAATTGTCTGCAGCTCCTCCTGAGTATCTTTTCTTTCAAAGGCTCAAGGGAAGGACATTCGGGGGTGGCTGGGCCCTAACAGGCGCTGGGCCAGTGCCCTGGGCGGCCCAGACGAGTGAGTGCAGACAGAGTCACTGTCTGCCCCGCTTCTGCCACAGTTCATCTGTGCGTGTGCAAGTGTGTGTCACACACAATCACACACAATCAGCCAGGAATAACAACCATAGAAGAGTTGCAGGCCCCCACTAGAGTCCGAGTGTGCGTGTTTTCTGCAGATGGGGTAGCACCGAGCTAGTAAGTGAGGTTGTGTGGGAGATACGGACATGGGCTATCGGGACCGGCCTGGGGTCTCTGGATGACAGTCTTTTTGCTCTATTTTAAGTTAAGAAGAAGAGATAATGTTGAAGTGTGAAGCCAGTTTTGTCCTCGTCAGACACAGTAGCCCTTAGCTATGGCCCACATGTCCATTATTTCTACTGTACTTTCTGAAGAAGTGAACCTCTTGAACCCCACAAATATCCATTGATTTCTGCTCTTTCTGAGCCCCCTACCCCACCACAAACCCCTAATTATGTAAATTGTTAGGCTGTGACACTGTAGCCAGCTTTTGCGAAAACTCAGCTGCCACCCCCACCCCCATAGTCGCCGCAGACTCACGTCTCGCCTCCTCTAGTTTCCAAATTCCGAGATGATCGCTCTCGGGCTGCTGTGCTGAGGGGAGTAGAATTCCCTATTGTAAATTAGCAGCAGGTGAAATTCTATTTGTCATCAATTTCTCTTTGGGGTTACAGAGCAGAAAACTGCCCACGAGCTGCTGCTTTGATGGCTCACTCCTAAAAATCTCTTTTTGTTCTTTATCTATTTGAACTGACAGTGATCAGAGCTGCGGCAGGACAGGGCTCTCTGGAGAAATCACCTTCCCCCTGCCTATTGACAGATCCCTCTGTTCTGCATCAGACGGGCTTTGTCCCATCACAGGCATCCAGGCCTTGGAAGGAGCCACCAATTAAACCTCTTGAGCTGGTAAAATCCGAAGCCACTTTGGAGTGTCCGTTCTGATTAGGCAGGATGAGAGGAAGCCCATCACCCTGCAGGCCCCGCTCCCTGGTCTCAATTTTCTCTCTTGCCTCCACCAGGTGCGAGAGGTGTGAGAGGAGCTTCACGCAGGCCACCCAGCTGAGCCGACACCAGCGGATGCCCAATGAGTGCAAGCCAATAACCGAGAGCCCAGAATCAATCGAAGTGGATTAACTGATTGACTGGTTGGAATTAAACTGCAAGGAAAGTCATGATTAAATGTCACGGACACTTAAGCAAAACCAAAGATTTCCTCTGAGCAACTTTCAATCAGTCCCAGAAAACCAAAAGCAGTAATAAAATAAGTAAGATGTTAAGAGATATTGATCCTGGCGTGGAAGTCAGACCAGGAAAGAGATTATTTATTTATGACTAGGGATGAGACTTATTTCAGTGGACAACTAACCTGGGACGGCTAACATTTCCAGTCCCACCATGTATTTGCTTTGTTTCTAAAAAGCTTTTTAAAAACTGTTATTTAATACCAAAGGGAGGAACCATATGGGTTCTTCTGCCCACAGTTGTGACTCAGAATGCACAGGGATGTGGTTCTCGTTGCACCTTTTTTTAGTAGCATGTTTCATGGGGACCCATTGTACAGCCCTTCTTCCTACTGTTTCGGCTTGGCCTGGCCCGGCCTGAGGCTGGCTGCCCAGGGGACCTTGAAGCAGAAGCAGGAGCCTTCGCCGAGCCAGCGCCACCCTCCGCCCGGGGCGTCCCGTTGCCCTGTTTCCCGCGCTCACTTCTCGTGCACTTTTCACGTGGCTCCTTCGCCCAGCAACCTGGTCTTGATGCAGGGGAGCCTGGAAAGGGAAGATGGTGGTTTCAGTGTCAAAATTCAAAGGCAAAAGTGGGGGACTTATTTCATCAGGATTGCAAAAACATTTAAAACGTACGGAGCTTCGTAATACAGTATATTGTTCCGAAGCGGCTAGTTGAGAAAATTTTGTTTTCGATAACATTTTAGCTTAAAAAAGATGAAAATAAAGTTCTTCGGTCTGAGGCTGGATGTAAGGTATTAGGCTTCAAGTAATTTTTTTTGTTGTTTCTGTGAAAGTGTTGAACATGTGAGCAAAAGGAGCGCCAAGCCCCACCGTCGAGGCCCTTTTCGCAGTTTTCTCTTCCTTCCTCATACTGGTGAAGGCTGGGAGGCCCTTTTCCTCTCTCCCGAGTGTGGAAGGAGCATTTCTGTAAAAATAGGTAAAAGTAGCCCTTCCAAGGAAACAGTGAGAGGAGGAGCCATGAACAGGGTTGTGCTTAGAACAGATTGCCCAGGAGCAAATGATTCCATCAATAGGAATGACCTTATCTTCTCTCAACGTTGATTAATTTCACTGTTCTTTGATCAAGTGCTTGGAGATCAGTTTAATTGCAGCTAGCCTTTCGGTAGTCCAACCATGGTGCTCAATGAAACTGGGTCACATTTCCTGAAACGATCCAATATTGGTCCTTTAGCTTCCAGCAGCATCTCAGAGACTGAATACCTCAGTGGCCAATTTAGATAATACTGAACGGTTTTATCTAGAGTGTTTAATAACAACAATTTCTGTTTTGTAAATTTCTTTGCCACCTGATAGCAGGACATAGCTTTTTAAGAAACTCCTTGTCTTTGAGCTCTCCTATTTTCTTGCCTCCATAAAAATAGGAGACACGTGAATGAACTCACTACTGAAAGGCAGGGATGCTGTGTGGTTCAGTTTAATCTATCGTTACGTATTTGGTTATCAGAAAATCTTTCTTCCCTTTTAATTTCGCTTCTCTGTCCCTTAGTACCCAGCTGCCACATTTAAAATGAAATAAAATAGGGCCTCATTAATTGTGCTTATAATTATTATTTACACACATATATATGAAAATAATTGCTAGAATTGTGGGCTCCAAAGAGAAACTTGGCTAATTCTGACTTCCGTTGCCCAATCTTAAGTCATTGACCTAGAATTTTCCCCCATTTCTTGCTTTTTGTCATGGAAGTAGTAAGCAATCTATGCTGTTGTGCAACTGTTGCTCATTGAAACTATTCTGTGTGGTAGATAGCAATGCATTCTGATTTTACAGTTCCCTGCCCCGAGTGATGGAGACATTTGCCAACAATGATGTGTCATTGGAAAAGGTAGAAAGGATTTGTAGTTACATCAACCTGAAACCTGCAAGAAAATGACAGATCAGTTACATAGATGAACAAGCTATTTCATTTATTAAGGTTGAACCATTTGCTCGAACTTTTTGAAAATGATAATAAGGGACTCACCTTTATGTTTTTAATATATTTTTTTTTCAGTAAGAAAAATCAGCTCAGCCATTTGCCTCGTTTCACAATTGAACACAAAGTACCCTACTCAGTTCTCATGAGTGTCACATGTGAGAACGAGAAGCCATCACTGTTACCTTGATAGCTGGCATGGGAAGACTTTCCCTAACAATGATCTCTGCTACTGTGACGGCTTTGCTGGGTGCTTCCAAACTCCCACTGAACGTGGCAGTAACCTCCACACCAAAAGGCCTGTTCCATTTAAATCTATTTTTCTCCTATATTATTAAGAAGTATTTTTTTTTGCATATATATTCCATCAAATTTGGTCAGAAGATATTTTCTGCTTAACAGAAAATTGTATACTCCCATTTTTCAGGTATTTGGGCACACTCACAATTTTCACATTGCTGACCTGTTGCCAGCTTCTAGTAGCCCGGCAGAAGCCGTCTGTCCATGAGACAGGCCTACACCTGGATTGACTTGGAACCCTGAAGCAAGCACTGAGCTCATTTGGGTCCCAAATGCCTTGTATCAAACTATGTGCTGGAGAGGGGGGTTCTCCTTGAAACCTCCCAACTGCTTTAGCCTTTTCTATTTAAGTGGACACATAATCCCTTGGGACATAGCGGATGGGTGGCAGAAACTGCAGTCATAAAGATTTCTCAGTTTCCCTTACTAGCAACTTCCTAATTAACAATAGTGTAAAGAGAATAAAAGCTCCGAATCACTGAGGAAAGAGGATATCTAAGATGTTGATGGTAGACTGTCAGAGCTGAATCAGGGTTTGGCTCTCAAAGCTGTCCTTCCTTACCCTTTTCTGTCAGTGGGGACAGAGGAATATTATTTTTTTTTCCAGAATAAGACTTTCCATCCTAGCATAAGCTCATTTATCTAGCAGTCTAAGTGAAAGGGTAATTCCAGGTAAAAGTCAAGGTGCAGAAGGATGAGGGATGCAGCTGCAGACCATCACATTTCTAGAACAATCTTAGTAACTTAAGGCAAAACTGAATATATTCCCCAGGAAATGTGCATGAATTTTTTTTTTTCTGATAAGCTTTTCATTTTGGTTTTATCTTTAAAAATGACTTTTTTTCAGAGAAGATATGCTTTTACAAAGGTATTGTGTGGGTAATTAAAGCTGTAAAACTTAATCTTGTATAATTTATATACTTTGATTCAATTAGTACATTTTTAGTGAGTGTCCATTCAAGTGTAGCCTTGCCAGGAAACTACAACAGCAAAAGATCGTGATACCACTCTGTCCTAACAGAGCTGATAATTTATTAGATTATACCTTGGAAAAACTTCATTCTAGTTCAGAAATACAAAGATTGATAAACATTTATCAACTCATCAATTTTTCAATCAATTGATTGGTTCATTGTTTCATTCATTTCTTCAACAAATGTTTATTGAATGTTTTATATAAAGATCCCATTTTAAGTGTTCGCCATAAAAAGCATTAACTTACATGATTTGGTGAGAAAATAATATTCTCCTCCGAAGTGGCTGGCTAGTAACATGGGTATTTTAGTTCTTTAGGCCATTGTCTCAGTGAGGTTAAAGAGATTGCTGCGACTATGAGAATCTGGGAGATGTAAACTCAGCTGGGGGCCAGAGATAGGCATATTTCAAAACGAATTGAGATGCGCAACATGGTTGTCTTTGCTTAACCCACTGGGCTGTTGGTTGTCAGCAGCAATATCAAGAGACCAGGATTAGGGCCAGGGTCTTGGGTTTTTACGACCCCCTTCCAGTGATAAGGCAACAAATGGAACAGGGCTGGAGTTGCTGGGGGAAGGAACCCTGCAGACCCTGACTGGGTCAGAGGTCCCTCCTATGTGACAAGCCTTGGCAATGCAGTCCCCATGCTCAGTGTGTACTCTCTTGTTTAAAATGTCAAATGCAGGTATCTCTTGAGTTGTTTAAAGTGGGAAACATGGCACATCTCACAAGTAGAGCATTTCCAGAAAAGCAGAGTCAATAGGTCACTCTGAGCATACCCGCAGTCTTATGTTGGGAGCAAATTCATTGCCCTCATATTAAGGCCCCACCTGCCTACAGAAACCAGATCAGGAATAACAAGTAAACTAAATAAACACATTTTGTAAAAAATTAGTTTCCGGTTTTCTTCCTTGATGTGAATGTAACTTCATTTCCCATAACCTTTACCAGTTCCTGACATGAAATCCTTAAAGATACCAAGAGATTCGCTTCTTTAAGTGATAACAGTAAGCTCCAGAAATGTCATTCATATGTCAGGATCCTTTCGAGGTAAAGAGCTCTGGAGACGTTTTACAAAGTGACTGGCTACGTGGTGCTTATCCCCCCAAGAGTTCGAGGTTTCCCCATCACGGGCATTTATCTCAACTACCACAAAATAACAGAGTCCCGGGAAGACGCGCACATTGCAGCCCTCCTCAAGATCCAGTTCTGCAAACCTAAAGATCAGCCGCCAGGTACAACTGGTTAGAGACAGCCGAATGGAAAAGAACGTTGCTTTAAGTGAGGAAGCCTCGCCACAGATGCTTAGTCTGCAATCCACGGTTGTATCGAACACTTAAAATATTTATTTAGTTTCTTCTTTTAAGTAAAAAATGTCAGAAGTTTCCTCAGATCAATATGTAAAATGATTTAAAAAAACCCACAAAAATACGTCAGAAAACAGGGCAAAGACATGAACCTATTGAGTTTTCTTCTCTGTATACTGAAGATGCAACCCTTATACTTAGAAAAGAATCTGTTGAGTAAATTTTAATGGAAAAATAAGGAAATTCTGAGTTTATTCCCACAGATGTTGTCAGGATGATAATGATCATAACTTATATTGTGCAATTACTGTCAGGCACTGTTCTAATTGCTTAATGTGGATTATCTCATTTAATGCTCAGTAACTCGATAACAGAGATACTATCATCATCCC